TCCAAAGTTTTTCGAAAAAGAAAAAGTAAACAAGTGGGGGAGGCACCTGCCTTCAGGTAGTAATACTTTTAAAGAGAGTGTATATATAGACTTTATTATCAAAAATAAAAAAATATTTTTGAGAACATCTGTTTTTTTGGATTGGCAAAGGGATTAGCATTTATTAATTAATATATATATATAATTATACAAATTTTAATTAATTATATAATTATAATTAAAGATTGGTCTCTAAATTAAAGATGAGAACATAATTCTAATGTTTTTCACTATTAAAAAAGTTTTTTTTTAAATATAAGATTAAAAAAAAATTTACCTATAAAGGTTTTTTGCAATTTAGGCACTTAATTCAAATGTTTTTTGAATTATGTTCCTTTTAAAACAATAAATAAATAATTATGTCTCTTTAAAAAGAATATAATTGATCTGCAAAATTTTATATACTAAATAATTTAGGGATCCATCTTTAATTATAATGATAATTTTATCTATCAATAAAAAGTAAGAACAAAAATATTGAACCAGCCTAATAAGAGTCTTCTTTGATCTTGAAAAGAAAAGAAACCAGTATAAGAAGGGAGGGGAAAGACTTCAAAACATTTCTTATCAAGAGAACACCTCAATGCCTTGCTCTTTTGCCTTCTTCAATTGCATCATCAGTTATAATATAGTATGACATGGTCACATGTGGGTATGTGTCTTGTTTATATTTCTTTTACATGTCGATTAACCAGTCCAAGATCTTAGCCAATCACCAACCGGCAATTCCGATATAACAAAAAATTCAGGGTCAAACTGAGATAGGCAAAATTCCCCTAAAAAAATCAAGAAAATTTTACATGCTTGAAAGTACTACTACAGATATATATGACTGGTGAAGAAAGATCATACACCTGAACAGGTAAACTCTTACCAGTTTATCCATTTACTTGAACTATAGGAGTTTTGAATCTTATGGTGAACCCAAGGTTCTTATGGAGCTTGGGAATTGTATTCACTTGATAAATACCAACTAGTTTATCTACTCACTTTAAGCAGAAGGTATTTACTTACAGTGAACCTAAAGTTCTTATGGAGCTTAGGAAATATATTCACTAGTGATTCACTTTCTAGAGTCTAGACCTAAGGAGAGAATCGTGAAGGATATTTTTTGACAGGTTTCTTCTTCCCAGTAAAGTATTCTTGCTATAAATCAAATGGATAAAGTTTTGTTTATTTTGTTACTGAAATATCCAAAGTTTTTTAAAAAAGAAAGAGCAAACAAGTGAAGGAAACACCAGCCTTCAGGAAGTAAGGTTTTTAAGAAAAGTGTATAAACTTTATTATTAAAAATAAAGAAATATTTTTGAGAACATCTGTTTTTTGGGTTGACAAGGGAATCAGCGGAAAGAGTTCTTGAATATTTTTATTATTAGATTATAAAAAATATATATTTAAAGTTTCATCTAAGTTAAATAATTAGGTAAACTAAAACTCTTTTCCACATGAAATAAATTGCCTTTTTAGGAAATTTTGAAAGAAAGTGACAAGAAAGTGAAAGGTACAATGGAAGTTATCCAAGCAACAACATCAAGTGTGGGCAGAGGAAGAGGTATGGAAAGAAAACTATTAATGCAACCAGAGAAGCAAGAGTAAAGGCAACAGCCATCAACAAGAGAGGACCAGGTAGACCCAAAAGTTTGGACAAAGAAAAGAGAAAAAGGATACCAGTACGTGCAGCTAGTATGGATATGGACAAGGGAAAAGGAAAAGAAACTGAAGAAGAAGAGGAACTGGTGGAGGAGTATGAAGAACAGGAGATGGAAATTGAAGAGGAAGAGCAAGAAGAAGCGGAAGACAACACTAGAAATGCAGGACCAGATATCAGAACGGAAGAAAAGGGACCATACAAAGAGAAAAGTGAGAAAGAACAAACAAAGGAAGGAAAGCCCAAAGATGTGGAAAGGAAACCAAGATATACATGCGAACTGGATTTACCAGTAGATATGGAATTAGGAGCTAAGCTTATCTAAGCTTTTTAATGCTACTTTCGTATGGTAAAGTCTAACCCATTTATTATTGAGAACATCCCAACTCGTGATAAAACCATCTTCCTATGTCGCAGAATACACTGTGCCGTATCCTCCTTTAGCGATATATTTTACATCTTGAAATTGTGTATACGGTATCCATTCTAATACATCACCTTCGAAAGTAACTTCAAGCTGAGACGTTTGTATAAATTCGTCAATTTTTTTATCTCCACTTGTCCATTTATCAAAATCTTGTCGAAAATGAATCCCATTGCATGACATGCACCAATCGAATCCTGAAAATTCCTGATTGCATTCGGGACAGAGGCCAAATGGCATATTTGATCTCTTTAAACTTGAATTTTTTACCAAAGTATTATATGCATTGCATAACGTTACATGGACGCAAAAGCAACTTTATTTCTTTTAATACGTATACTGTATATACATTATATATTATATAACAAAATTTTATTTTTCTTGGTAGCTTGTAATTCATAAAACTTGTAGATATCAATTTATCTACATTATATTATTTGTTTCAAAGCATATGCGACGATCATTAGGAAATGTACAAATGAGTGAAGATATAGAATACAATATGTTTGTTGGTTTATCAAAGTTAAGTTATAAAAAAAAAGCCAAAATAAGGGAGGATAAAAGAAAGAAATTGTGTATTAATAAATAAGGGAGGATAAAGAAAGTAATTGTGTATTAATAAATATGAAAAAGTATTAACATATCTTCCTTCATTATGAACCATTAATTGAAATATACATTATTAAATCCAATATGGAATATTACCCTATTGTGATAATTGTGCTTGATTCAAAAATACAGGATAATGTTTTTGTTCTTTTCAACATTCTTTTAGTTTTCTGTTGATAAAAATTTTAACATATGGTATACTTGATTAATTTTCAAGAGTAAAGAATAACAGATATGTTAGCTTTGGCATCTTTATTAATTTAAATTAGGTTATTCAGCTGCCAAGTTATAGTTAATAAAAATTCATGCCAAAGTTTTATTGTTTGGTACAATTTATGCCACTTGGCATTTAAAAAATACATAACTATTTGGCAATAAAAATATAACATTTGACAATTAAAAATTTTAAAATTTAGCAATAAAAAAAATTTAACAATTAAAAAATTAAAATTAAAAATAAAAACATTTAAAAATAAAAACTTTTGCAATTAAAAAACATTCAATAATAAAAAATTTATAAAATTTGACAATTAAAATCATAATATCCATTAATTTTAATAAATTTATATTAAATTATAATATAATACAGTTATAACAAAAAAAATATTATTTTTTTTTTATTAAATTAATATTAATAGAATTATATATGATTTTATTTAATTTTATTAATTTTTTATTTAATTTTTTATTAAATTCAAATATTAAAAAGTTTATTATTAGAAATTTTTTTAAATAAAAATATTTAAAAATTTTTATTATTATTAAAATTTTTAAAAAAGCTAAAATATTATTTGGTAATGACATATTAAAAATATTAGTATTAGAGATGTACAGTCACCCTAAAAAGTAACGCCCGATTATCAAATCAAAATCGATTTTAGGTAAGTATACGTTTATTTTATTTTTTTTCTATATACATGAAAAAAATTTTTTTTATTTGATTAATATTTTGTTAACCCTCCATTTGCTTTTATTACCGCATTGATTCTTCGTGGCATTAAATGCACAATCTCTCGAAAAAATGACGTATCAAATTTTGACCATTATTCAGTTAGAGCAACCTTGAGCTCTTTTACAGTTCTTGGAAAATTTTCGTGCTTCTGGATATTGTCCTTCAACAATTTCCAGATATTTTTGATTGGGTTTAAATCAGGAAAGTTTGGAGGCCAATTGATAATTCAGATATTTTCTTTTTCGAACCAATTTTTAATGATCTTCGCTATGTGAATTGGAGCATTGTCATGCTGAAACGTCAGATGTGGTGATATCAAATCACGATTTTTACGTTGAAATGATAAAAGGTAGGTTTCCAGAATCTTTTGATATATTTTTGCAGTTATTTTTTCTTTTTCTTCTTTATACTCATCACAAAAAACTAATGGTCCTTTTGTTTCATTTATAAAACACCCCCACACCATTGCCATTTGCCGGCCACTCTTAAATGTAGGTGCCAGACACTCGAAATCATATCTCTCTCCTGTATTTCGCCATACCCTAATTTGTCGCGACGATTTTCCAATTTCCACGCTTGTTTCATCAGAAAAAATTATGCATAACCAATCATAGACTGTTTTGTTTTTATTTTTTTTACACCAGTTGAGACGTGCAGTTGCATTACTTTATGATATGAAGGGTTTTTTCACGGCGACACGAGATCGAATTCCAATATTGTACAACACATTTGCTGCAGTTTATGGATTGCATTTAAGCTCTAGACTATTTAAAATTTTGCGTAATGGTGTGCGACGTTTTTTGATTACTTCTTGTATTAGCGCATCCTTTTCCCTTTCGTTGAGGGCTTGTGGTCTACCAGATCACGGCATATTTGTTGTTTTTCCAGTTTTTCGATATTTTGCAATAAACCATCGAATTGTTATGGAATTTCGTCCCATTTTTTTTGCTATCTGCTCAGGATTCATATTTTCCAGGTATGTGAGTATTTTTCCTTTATCAATATTAGTTAATTGTGTACGGCCGGAAGTTATGATTATTTTTAAAAAAAAATTTATACGAAATACGTAAAAGAGTGATGAAAAACAACAACAAAAGGATAAGTGTGAAAATTGACAAAAAGGATAAAAAAAGTCACGATATAATTTGTCATACTTTTATACTTGAAAATCAGGCATTACTTTTTAAGGTAACTGTACAGGGGGGTAACATGGGTGACCGAATGATTTTTTATAAGCTACACACAGTTCATTTCGCAAATAATCATTGTAATTTAGTAGAGTTTACAAAATGATGACTAGTTTTTTTTTTTTTAATAATACAATAAATATGTAATTAAGAAGTCTAATTTTATAGTGATGGTTTAACATGGCTTCAAAAAAAAAAGAATTTTTTTTTAAATTTTAATAAAAAAAATATGCAAAGAGTTAACTGATACACAACGTAAAGAAATCATTGATGAATACAATTGTGGTGATTCCTATAAAACTATTTCCAAGAATATCAAATGTGGTAAAACTATGGTCTATAATACAATCAAACGTTTTGCAAGAACTGGATCTGTAATACTCCAAAAATGCCGTGGTCCAAAATCTTTTTTTGATCTTAAGCTGACCATACTTAAAGATTTTGTTATTCAAGATACTTTATTCTAACAATTTAAAATTTCTGAAATCCAAGCAACATGGAATACTATATACAAAAAAAATCTTTTAGTTGCTACTTTTCGCAGAACTCTTAGAAAAGTTGAATTATGTTCGTGCATTGCTCGTCGAAAGCTGTTGATTTTTGAAAAAAACAAAAAAAAAATTATAATGGGCATTAGACCATCAGAATTGGATGATTCAAGATTGGAAATATATTGTGTAGACAGATAAATCAATATTTACACAATTTCAAAGTTATAGTCTATGTGTATGGCGTTTACCAGGTGAAGAGTTTAACTTATCATATATCAATTCTACTGTCAAGTATGCTTCTAGATGAATGTTTTAGGGATGTTTTTCTTGGTATGGTCTTGAACCAATTGTTTCTCTTCTAGATTCTGTTACTGGCATACGTTACACTAAAATTCTAAAAAATATACAATTCCATCATATCTTAGTTTGGTTCCTAATAATAATAGAATTCTACAGGAAGATAACGCACCTCCGCATCATGCCAAAATCGCCAAGGCAGTTTGTGACTCTGCAGATATACAAGTGTTTAATTGGCCTGCACAAAGTCCTGACCTTAACTTAATTGAAAACCTTTGGCAAGAAATCAAGTTCAAGTTGTGAAGTAATCCTGATAAACTGACTAGTCTGAAAGACTTAGAATCCAAAGTTGAAATCATCTGGAATACAATTTTGACTGAATTTATTCATAAATTAGTAAACGGAATGCCTCGAAGAATTCAGGCATGTATTGTGGCTGAAGGAGGTATGACAAGATATTAAAAAAAAAGTAACACTGATAGCTTTAAATATAAAAAATCTGCGGTTCATCATTTTATATTTTTATTGTATCATTGCATATCCACGAAACAAAAAAAAAAAAGTCATCATCAAATAAGTCATGACGATTATTTGTGGAATGAATGGTACGTTGTATATGGACGATCGTTCGGTCACCCATGTTACCCCCCTGTAATGATTAGCGATATTGCCAATAATTCATACATATTTCTGAATACATTTGATATTTTATATACAGTTCATTATAAAATGCCAGATAATACAAATTATCTATCCGTTGTCAAATATCGTCGTGCGAGTAGGTGTTCTGACTGCCGTGAAAAGGATTTGTATCTTTGTTTCAAAGTTATATTATGATTATAGATACTGTAAGTTATAGTAACTATTTTCATGAGCTGAGGAAATTTCTAAATATTTAATGAAAGTAAAATTGTGGTTATTAATTAAATAAGTCAGGCTATTAATTATGATTAAAAATATTATTTCGAAAATACCTAGAAAATCTGAGAAATCAAAATCAATTAAATTGGAGTCTGTTAAATAAGGTTTAAGATTAGAATTGTTATTAGTGATTTGAAAATGCAATAAATACTATACTATTTGTAGAATATTAACCTGCATGGTCATCCGACAACATTTCAAGTACTTTCTCATAATTATGGGAATTGGTTGGTTGTGATAGATTTGAAAAATTCAAAAGTCTGCTAGTATAAATAGCATTTGGGTGTGTTTTATAATTAAGTCCCGAGAAGTTATTTTCTCTCGAAATTTCACTCTCGTAATCTTTAACTTGTTCCTTAAAATCCGAAAGTTCATCAACATAAATCCATTTGTATAAGGTATTTCCTATTTCTCCAGCACCTGGTCGCTTCGATGGCCTCGCATCCCAATATTGCATTATTAATCTAACTAAAAATTTGTTCGTCTTGAATGGAATTTTTGGACGTAAGCCTTGACAGATTTGTACAGCAAGATCTTGATCATGAGGAATATTATAGTATGGAGGAAATCCTGTGATCATTTCATATGCTACGATTCCAAATGAATAAATATCTGCTGCCGGTGTGTAAGCATGGCCACATAAGACTTCGGGTACAATATATGGAAGAACTTCGTAAATTTCTTGGCGAGTTTTTCTTTCTTGATTAATATCAAAAAATTTACAAAGACCTAGATCCAAGATTCTCAATTCTAAATAACGATTGTATAAAAGATTTCCAGGATGAAAGTCTCTATGAACTAATTTCTGAGAGTGCATTTCACTTAAACCAGCCGAGATATGTAGTAAAGAATTTAGTTTTAATTTCAAATCCATCTTGTAAAAATTTTCATCCAAGTAATTCCTGAGACTGCCATATTCTTTAAACTCTAAAACCATCATATAGCATAATGACTCTGGTTGTTGTGTAATCCTATAGTATTTAACAACAAAAGAGAAATCATTCAGCAGAATGGAATGTTTCTCAATCTAAAATTTAAAATAAATTAGATTAATAATAAAACTATAGTTAAATGAGGTTTAATATTCTTTACCTCATTTATAAGATCGTAAACTGAGCTGAGCTTGTCTAAGCTTTTTAATGCTACTTTCATTCTCGAAAATCTAACTCATTTCTTATTGAGAACATTCCAACTCTCAATATAGCCATCTTCCTATGTCGCAGAATACACAGTGCCATATCCTCCTTTAGCGATATATTTGACATTTTGAAATTGTGTATACGGTATCCATTCTAATACATTATAACACTCCTCAGCTTGAAGTTGAGACCTTTGTATAAATTCGTCAATTTTTTTATCTCCACTTGTCCATTTATCAAAATCTTGTCGAAAGTGAATCCCATTGCATGACATGCACCAATCGAGTCCTAAAAATTCCTGGTTGCATTCGGGACAAAGTGACATATTTGATCTCTTTAAACTTGAATTTTCTACCAAAGTATTATATGCATTTCATAACGTTACATGGACGCAAAAGCAACTTTATTTCTTTATTAATACATATACTGTATATACTGTTGTACTGTACATTACAGTATATATTATATAACGAAATTTTATTTTTCTTGGTAGCTTGTAATTCATAAAACTTGTAGATATTAATTTATTTACAGTATATTATTTGTTTCAATCAATAGTAAAGCATATGCAACTATTATTGGGAAATGTCAAACGAGTGAAAATATCGAATACAATATGTTTGTTGATTTATCAAAGTTAAGTCATAAAAAAACGCTAAAATAAGGGAGGATAAAAGAAAAAAATTGTAGATTAATAAATATGAAGAAGTATTAACATATTTTCCCTCATTATCAATCATTAATTGAAATATACATCATTAAATCCAATATGGAATATCACCCTATTGTGATAATTGTGCTTGATTCAAAATACAGGATAATGTTTTGTTCTTTTTC